ATTATACATGTGCCATTAGGCAAAAAGGTAAAGAGAGACAATGGAAGCCGCCGCCGCCGCCGCATAGCAGTATAGCAAATTTTACGACTCGCGCGCGTTCACGGCCGCCGCCGCCGCCACCGTAGTCGTCGTCTTACAATCGAAAAATCATATACGTCGTAAAGTTCGTCGATTTAATCGCCTTTATATGATATTGCATATATACACTATGCGCGTATTACGTACAGAAAAGGAAAAAAAAACGAAACTTGGATGAAAATCTTCTTCTGGCCTGGCCTTAATATCGACGCTACCGTGTAATGTGATTTAGCACGACGACGAGTACAAATTACATCATATTGGTCCAATTTAGCTGTGATATTTCTGCCACGTATCAGCTGCATGAACGGATACAGAAATTCCTCGTGGAAGAAGGTTGAGAAGAAAAAAATGTCACGCATTCGTTTGTGCGCGTGGAATAAGCTCGTCGAACGATGTTCGTGTCTGAATCAATGTTAAAAAAGGAAAGAAAATAAATGATAAACCGATATACACGAAGAAGCCTATGCTGCGGAGCGAGGTACATATTTATACACGTGTGTATATGCACAATCAAAGGCAAATAGAGCTCGCTCATCCGCATGGAATTCAATAAAACCCTCTTCTCTTTCTCGCTCCCTTTCCAGCCTAGTCTCTCTCTCTCTCTCTCTCTCTCTGCAGAGAGCCCAAAGCCTGCAACACCAGATTCTACACACGCCGTCGGTCTGTGTGTATGTATAATATACCTCGATCGAGCTATACTAGCCTACTACTACTACTACTTAGTAACTTCAAATTCGACCCAGTTTCCGATATATTCGGTATATATAATACAACGAGGCAGTGGCAGCAGTGCCTCGTGGACGAGGTGAAAAAAGCTCTGCTCTTCGTGCTGTGCCACACACACACACACACACACACACACACATGTATAATACTTATGTACGTGTGCATGCGTTATATGTAGCAATGCCGAGCGCAATTCTCTATGCCAGGTACGTGTGTATAAGCGATCGCGATTGGAGTGCAGCCAGCGAGCTCGAGACTGAGAGAGAGAGAGAGCAATACACATCGGAGCTCGATTCTCGTGTGTGTATGTTTGCGTGGGTGTACTTTAGCGCGGAGGCCTAAACTACACACAGTAGGCCGACGCACACGAAGCAAGAAAATGGTAATGAAAGTAAAATAGAGTAAAGGAAAAAAAAATATCTAGAACGTAGCAACGCGGTAAAAAGGAGAAGCCTCCTCTCTCTCTCTTTCTTCCTTCGAGCAAAGAGCTTATGTAAGAGCTCTTGTAACGCCAGGGGGTAAAGGATTGCTGTTACTGCTGCTGCTGCTGCGCCGATCTATAAGTTGGGACTTTTTGTCCGGGCAAGTCGAGCGCCCTGAAATTTGATGCGTTGCTAAAGTTTACTCGCACTTGGGAAATGAATTTGTTCTATACGCGTGACGCTCGCCGGTTTGCTTGAAGTGCATTTACGAAGCGCGTGCCGAGGCTATGTATGCGTTGCAGTGTCTCGCACTAGAGTTGAAAAATTGTTTCGTAGAAATTTTCTTTGTCTTTCCTTTTTCGTCGAATAATATACGTCGAATTCATGTAAGCATTTCAATTAATGTGATTTGAATGAAAGTCTGACAATTTTTTCATGAATCATAATAACACGTAAAATTTTTATGAGAAAATCTTCACAACGATTTCACATTAATTATCGTGAATGCTTGAGCTTGGATATGAATCCAACTACAACGCGTTTATTGACAATAATACTATATGGATTTTGAACATTTTTCATAAAATTGATCAAAACTATGCGTGGACTTATATAATTATTTTTATTTTGCCACTTGCAGGTTTACAGATAAAAAGTACTCGCCATCTGGCGGTGGAGTCTTGCTTTCATTGAAATTTTATGAATCTTTAGAACAACTAACGCCAAAAATAACTCTTCAATCTCAAACTTTATTTAAGTCCGATATCCATAAGTGTGCGTGCGTACATATAAATCCGCTCGATCTTCCCGTCACATAAGTATATCGATGCGCCTGCTGCAAAACAGCTCTCGCGCGATTTCTTACAGCACTCCTCCTCCCATGCTTCTCTTTTTTCCCCTCGTTCCTCTACTGTACGTTCGGGAAAGAGAGAAAGAGTGCAGAATTTCTGATAGCAGCAGTAAACTAACTAGCCGCCCCGCGAGCTTTAACAACGGAAAGCTTTCAGCTTTCGGTAGAAAGACGAAATCTATTCTCGCACAGGATGATAGCCACAAACATATCAGTCGTAGGAGGAGGTGCCTCGCTGCTTCTGCTGCCGCTGTATGGTGTGGGCAAGTTCGGTTTTTTAAAGATCGCGAATACTCTACGATACGCACGCCGCGACGATACAAACGTACATAAACCGGCGTAAGTAAGAAGAAAAAGAAGCAAAAAAAAAGGATGGCCAGCGTCGGTGACAAAAAAAAGCTCCAAAGAAAAAAAACTACCGGCCAAATCCATTGAGAGAGCGAGAGAGCGCACGAGCTTGCACAGGGGGATGGTGTACAGCAGTAGTCACAATTCTCGACTCTTTATGTATCTCTTTCTCACTTGCGCTCGCTCGCTCGCTGCAGTAAGGTTTCCTTCGCGTGCAGCGACTTTTCTTATATGCGAGGAATCGCCGGTTCTACGTACGTATATATACGTATATACGGTATACGTATGTATACACTTCGGGATACGCGATCCTTGCCAAAGTCTTCGCAAGCTTTCTTCCTCGGCGAGCGAAGCAAAGTCTCGAGTCTTCGGTTTTGCGCTCTCTCTGTGTGTATTCGTGTGTCCGCTCCGTATACATACACGTATATATCTACCGCGTTCGACCGCATTACGTCAGCTAAAGTTTTTTGCTTCTCTCTCTCTCTCTCTCTCTCTCTCTCTCTCGCGCGCGCGCGCATGTGTACGTAGGAAATGCGATCGTCTCGCGACAAAAAATTAATATTCTTAAAGAGCAAAATCTTGTTTTCCGATCTTGCGGATTGATTCTCGAAATTTTCTCACGTCAACCGGGCGATGTACGATATATAAGTAGCAATATCACACACACACACTTACACGCGCAGTCGCTTTTTCGTCCACTCTGGTGAAAACAATTCAATCAGCTCCAAGTCGCGCACGGCAAAGCTTATTGCGTTATATATGAGCCGTACGCGCGTGTGTGTGTGGGCGTACTTGATTTCAGCCGAGGGAAAAGGGTTGTGTACGTGTGTGTGTGTGTGTGTGTGTGAGTGTGTAAGAGGACGACGACGTACGGGCGCGAAAAAAAGTCTCGTCGCCGTCGCATATCGCGCGCTTCTGTTATAAGTTATGTGCAACGTCGAGGCGGCAGCAGCATCGAGCAGTAGTAGTAGTAGTAGTATGGTGCAACGTGCGAGTAGTAGTAGTAGTAGTAGCAGCATAGAGGCGAGAAAAAACGTTAAAGTGCACAAGTGTCGTGCGTGCGTGCGCGCGCGCGCGGGGCTCAACGACACCATCAATCGCCGGAATCGCGCGCTATAAAACATTTATCCGCGCGCACAATCACGCGCGTGCTCCGTGCAAAGCTTTCGCTCTCCCTTCAACTCCTTCTTTTGCTTTTTTTTCTTTTCTTTCTTTTCTTTTTTTTTTTTTTACATCGTGCCCGAAAAATATGAGTCTGACACTGGATACACTTCTAACGCGCGTATACATACATTTCGCGTACGTGCCGAGATGGCTGGAGAGAGAACAAGATCGACGGCGAATTTTGGTTACGCGCTCGTTTCGCGATCGCATTTCGAGCTTAAAAATTACGTACGCGACGACGATCCCGATTGGGGGTGGCCGCGCGCAGAGATTGACTCTTCCGTGCGCGCGAGCTTTCGCAAGAGCACAAAAAAAATCCAATCGTATTAAGCTTATTTCGTCGGTCCTTTTTTTTTTTATCGACGACGAACACACGAAATAAGATATGATCGCGTACACACGAATGGACGCGTGCATCCACGATCCCTTTTTTGCCTCTTTTTGCTCGATTTTGCGAAACACGTATACTCTCTCTCTCTCGTCGCGTCCTCCCTCGTGCTCTCGCAGCCCATCGGGTTGTAAAATTCGCGCGTGTGTGTGTCTACATACTTTGGCAAAACTAGTCTATTTTTACGATACGTATCCGACACTTTACGCTGCAAGCACACATACGATATACGAAACAACGCTTTCGAGTAAAATTCATACAAGTATACCCAACTTTACGACCCTTATATCGTGTATTGCATCATAATATTATACATGTGTATGTGCCGCACAATGTCGACGCGTCGTCGGGTTATACATAATCCACGAGCGCGTACATATAAAATACACTCGTACGCTCGCTTCATTCGCGATTTTATACGTATAAAAATCATTGATTCAAAAAAGTGTACGTGTATATAGAGCCGCCGCCGCCGCCGCCGCCACCGCCGCTGCGGTGTATAGTAATACACGTACAATACGACTATCTAGAATTGAATGAAAGCTGTGTACGAGAGCCAGCGGCAGCGGCGGTGCTGCACGAGAGCGTTACGTAAGTAGTAAAAATCGTTTTCAGTGAAACGGAAGCACACGCGCGAATATCAAGCTGCGGTCTTCTTACGGATCGTATCGATTCGACTGTCAACGATGCACGATCGATGTTTCAGCTCTTTGAATTTATGTAGCGTAATTAATTTGTCCCACAAGGGAGGCGCATTAACGCCGACAAATTCGTGTATTGCGATCGGTGTGAGATGATGCGATTGAGCAACGAGCGCATAATTTTTCAATCTTTTCTCACACGCGTGAAGAGGAAAAAAGAAGCGGGCGATATGCGTCGGCCAATTGGAACACGCCTACTGATTGACGAAGGGCCGATTTTTATCGGCCACCATTGTATAGTGTGAGTCACAAGTGCAATAATGTGTATTCGTCGATTCATCGTCATGATCGTATCGAGATTATGCAGCGTTGAAACTTACCTTATAAAGTACATGTGTGTCCGATGGTCCCTCTTGCGCCAGTCATTGGTTCTCACTTTGGTGCTCGCTTCCTCGCGATCGCCTGCGTCGGTCTTCTCGTGGCTTTGCTGGGGATTGCTCGGATCCGCGTGGAGACCAATCGCAGAGACGTCCGGGGCATTATCGTCTTCGTCGCGCTTGTCACCATCGATCGGCACTTTTGCACAGTGATTCGAGTTTTCGATCGTTTGTTCGTTATACCGCGTTAAGCACGACGATATCGTTCACACTTGTTCACAGGAAAAAAAAAAAATAAATAAATATCGAGGAAAGAAAAGCGGATCGACGATTGAGATTTAGCGAGTCACCGGTAGCGAAACGAGCTTGCGAGCTTGCGACACACCTGTGCGATATATCGGAACGAAGCCGCGCACACGTGTCTTCGGTGTACGTAAGTGTGAGTGTGTGAGTGTGTGTGTGTGGTCGCAGCCCACGTGTGTGACACGCACGTATCACCCACCGGCACACCGGAAAAACGATTACTCCCCACGACGTAAGCAAGAAAAAAGAAAAAAAAAAGAAGGAGGTGTGGATAACGGTACTTTTCTCGTCACTGGCACCTGTTAACAAATCACTCGTCTGAAAACACGCACTTGTTCTCTTTTATAAGCCCGTCATCCGTGCTACAGACTCTTGGCTATGTAATATGTCACTCTACCTCTCTCTCTCTCACTCTCTCGGGGCGATAAAAATCGCCGGAGAAAATCACTCGTATTCAGGGTGAAAAAAGAGGGATCAATTTTTCACTCGCAACTCGAAAAAGCTACACACGAATAACGGTCAAAAATCGACGTGTCAACGGAGCTTTTTTTTCAATCCGTGACGGCTATCTCTATCTCTATCCGAGCGCGCTACTTATACGAGGGATACGAATGCGAATGCTGCACGATACACATTTATATACGAACGGTATGCATACGAACTTTCGTCGCGTAGGTCCGTGTGTATGGTCGATAGCGCGCGAGCCGTCTTACTGATAGTCCTAGTGTCGGCGGCCGCGCTTCGGAGTTAGCGGTAGCAGCAGCGGCAGAGCCACCCCCGCACGCGCGCGACGACGACGACGACGATGTATATAGTCAGCAGCAGCAGCAGTAGTACGTACACGAAAGTCCCGCTTGCGCAAACGCGAGAACAATCCGGAAACCAACGACGACTACGGCGACGACGACGCACCACACACGACTATATCCCTGCGCGTATACGTGTGTATACTCCCCTGCACTTGTATGCGCGTAGGCATATACGTACGTATGTGTATACGCGCATATCGTGTATATGAATGTCCACGCAACCCTTGGTGTGCGAATCTCTTTTTCTTTCCTTCTTTTTCTCCTGCCTCCCCACCAGAATCGCCAACGACGACTGTGCGCAACGAGTTATACTCGAGTTCTTTTCGCTGTGCAACGTAACGCCGTACAATACTGTACTGCCTCTTTCGGATCGCGCGTATGCATAAGGGTGAACTTGAGCGAGAGAGAGAGAGAGAGAGAGAGAGAGAGATGAGAGCACGCAACGATATTTCGTGCAACCGAGCTTGCAGGCAGTTTCGAAAGCGCGAGAAAAAAAATAATGATCCATGCCATAAGAGGTGGATTATGTCTAGGCAATATTCATAATATTCATAGCAGGTAAACGTTTCTTCAGCGACGACGGGACGATCGCTGACACGTATTATACGTACGAAGGGATCTGTGCTCGGTGCGGCTCGTCTATTCTTGGCGACCGCCGAGTTATAATTATTGCATACAAAAGCTCGATCGGCCGTGAATCGATACGTGGAAGAAAATCATCGCGCGAACGCGGTCAATCACTCCGCGTCTGGGCAGAGCTTGTACGCGACACGATACGACTTTAATACATGCAGATAATTAATAAAAAAGAATCCCAGACGCTAAATAAAAGCCTCATATTTTGATGTGAAACATCTTTATCGGCGTTTGGCATGAGGGGTAAACCCGTGAAAAACGAGCGTCCATCCATCCATCCGTTCGTCCGTCTGAGCGAGCGCAATTTTGGTAGTATATTAGTGTCTATATCAGCATCAGTTTGCGCTGCTCGCTGCTATTAGCTACTGCGCTAGCTACATCTCTTTTTTTCTCGCTCTAGCACGATCGCGTATGCCTGTGTTAACGTATACACAAGATGTAACGTAAGAGCATAAGCAAAGGCAGTCAGCGTATAGCTCACGGACTTGACTATGTTGAGCTGTTTTTCTTTCTCTTGCTTGGGTATATCGAACGTATATGCTATCAATGCGTATTTGATTATCTAAACACAGGGTAGTGTTTAATAATGATAAAAAAATTAGACGAGAGTATGTCGGTCGTTTACTAGAAATATTTTCTGAAAGTGGTCATTAAGTGGCGTTTACGAGAGGATTCGTGAAAACGTCCTTTTTAATAATATTAACGATGTTACAATGATTTTTCAATATTTTTAATCTATAGAACATTCAATTAGCTACGCGATGATCGATTTATTTTTTATTTAATTGCAATTATTAAATTTTTCTACATATTAAAACATTGAAAAAAAAAAAAAAAAAATTCGGTCATTCGCAGGACGGTTTACTCTATGAGAGTTTTCTCCATAAATATATGCTCGCGACGAATTACATAAAGTTTCCAATTTTATACCACCACCTCTTATCAGTAATTTAGATTACTGCCCTCGATTAAGCCGCATGATTAACATACGGGGTTGTAGATTTTTTTCTGGTTCCTTTTTTGACGGCAGCACCTGAGTGTGGTGTATAAAATTGGAATCTGACAACTGATGCGAGCATGATCTCTTATATAGTAGTCGAAAGAAATTTCTCGCCACTTGCGGGTACCTCGATGTATCGCTAGATCGACATCTGGCGTCGGGAAAGTTAAATGTCACACCTACTCTGATTTAAGAGTGAGCACACGTTCATTATGAGCCAGATGTGAAACATCGATGCTTGTGTTGAGATTTTCTCAATTTTTTTTCTTGTATCTTGATTTTTTTGTTTGGACTATTAAATAATAATGTTTTTGAATTTTTTTTAGTTTCTTACTTATTTGACATTTTTTATTGTTACTTATTTTATTGATCAATTTTCTTGTTTTTATTTCATTTAACTTTGAAATTTTAATTTCTTTATTAATCTATAAAGGTATTTCATATATTTTTATTTTTATTTTTAAAAATTTAAAAAAATTTTTTTCTAAATATCATGGCTCAACGAAACCATAAAAGGGAGCGATGTTCTTTTTTTTCTCTCTCTCTCTCTCTCTCTCTCTCTCGACAAAAATGAAAAGTCGCATCTCTCTCTCTACGTTGTATCTATACGCAAGTTGAGAGAATCCACGTGTGGAGAGGATAGAATATCGCGCGAACTATATAGCGGCGGCGATCACCATTGCGCCTCGGCGCGCCGGTGCGTTGTACTCTATACGCCATGCTCGAGTCGAACTACACATATATACATACCACTGCTCTGCTCTTGGTTATCTGTGGGCCGCTTGCCAAATATATGGCGTGCTGCGCGCCTCTTGGCACGCGTAAACAATTACTTCGCGAACTTGGTGTTATCAACGGAGCAGTGGCGGTGCTGCTGCTGCTGCTGGTCGTCGTACTCATCGTATACTCGTCGTCGTCGACTGGTATTATCCAACCCAGCTCTCGCTATCTTTCTCTCTCTCTCTCTCTCTCTCTTTCCACTTGTGCGTTGATGTATTCTTCTCATTTAGCTTTCTCTCTCTCCCGGAGCTCTCGAGCTTTCGTGGAACTGTGGTAATTATGATGAATCTCTGTCCTTTCTCCTTTTCGACTTTGGGTATATGCGTAGTTGCAGCTATACAATAGAGCTCGAGTCGCGCATTATGGTATTTTAGAGCGCACGCGATTTTTCGAGATTCGAATGAAAAATATTCATTTTCATTAACATTCTGTTTACGTTTACTCGACAAGAGATATTGACACGTCGAATTTATATGAGTTTCTAATGAACTACATCGTTTTTGTCTTACGGGTACGCACACATCGTTCATCGATGCGATCAATTTATGTTGTTAAAAACGTATAACATATTATTCAATTATTCCAAATTATTTTATAATTCTGTAGCACTACATTGTCATTTTTAATGTGTTTAATACATTTATTTTTATTCAAAACTGTTAAAAATATTTCCATTTTTACAATTAATGTAGAAGTGGAGACTTTTTTCAATTAACACTATTCAATGAGACGATCTACTTATATACACGTAAAGCAATTGACGTGTCTTTCTTAACTTATCATATATACAATTCTACTTATATACAATTATTTTAACTTTGCCACTTGCAGATTAACAAATTAAGGTATTCGCCATCTCGCGGTAGATGCTGATTTTAATCATGATTTAATTTCCATAAATTTTTGAGTAATTGTCACAAAAATAAATCATTGGTATAGTATTTAATTTCTATCAAAATGTTTAAATTTAACTAGGCAAATAATTTGTTAATAAACAATGTGGATAAAATTAAACATAGCTACTTGAGAAACCGCATATATGCGTGTAGTTTGTCACGTTTGGAAATCTTTTAAACGATGAATTTTACAGTTGTCTCATCGACTATAGATGTCGCATCGCTAAACCGTAAGTGGTTAAATTACTTTTTCAATTATATAGAGAAAAAGTAAACGTGCATACACTTTCCTGTTTTTTTATCCTTCCAAGAAGTTGTCCCGTATATTTTGTGTATGAAATGTCTACTATTTATAAATTAGAATAGAAATAAACGAACACAACCTTTTTTTACAGTGTGAACAAGCCGGGAGGCTAGAAAAAACTCGCTCTTTTTATTATATTTAAATATTTAAATATTTAAATATTTTTTAAGGTTTATTGATGTGTGGCTCAAACTACTCTAGCCGAAGTGATCGTCTGGCACAGGCAAAGGAACAATAAGAAAAAATAACAAAACAACGACGGTAACTAAGTAACCGATCGAACAAAATAAATGGCATACGTATTCGACAGAAGTAAAAGTGTATACAAAGAGATTCTGGAGTCGAAGATTATAATCTGTTCAAGAAACATTACTTTGCACTAAATGAAAATTAACCTGGTACTCGATACAAAAAAGTAAAGTAACATTTACTACGTAAATTGTTTCTTGCCTACGGGGCATAAATTACCAAAACTTCTTAATTCTACATATATTTAATGGATACGAAACAAACTTTTTCTTTCCTATTCCATTCGTATTTGTTTGGCTTGTTTTTTCGCGTTGTAAACGCTATACCCCGTAACACAAAAGTCGGCCGCGCTTTTTCGGTGGTCGCAAGAAATCACAACGCTTCTGTCACCCGTACTCGAGCGATACACGGTTCGAATGTGCAGAATTTCACACCTCGATGATCCAAAAAATCGACGTTTCAACGCACATACCGCAACTACAAACAAATACGCGTGACGTTGCTAACATTATTTCGCGAAATATCCATAGCTTGCATGCGTGTTGCATCTTGCCCTTGACTCATTGTTCCGCATATTTTTCTCCGTTCCTCTTTACTTTTTTTCTCTTCGTGGCTTACGCAATTGAGCGCACATCGTGCAAAAGTCATTTCTCTCTCTCTCTCTCTCTCTCTCTCTCTCGCAAGATCGATGTATTTATAAAAAATATTATTTTGCAGTTTGCTTTTCCGTCGCGGAGAATATATGTAAATTATCCATCCGCGCGCGCGACGCAATGTCTCGAAATGTCACGCAAGAGAGAGAGAGAGAGAGAGAGACGCAGCGCGAGTATCGAAAAATCGCTTCGTTCCAAAAAAGCATTTACTTTAATTCGACAAAAATGTCTTCGTGTAATTCCTTAACCCCCGCATCCAGCTGTACTTATACCACCACCGCGACCACGAGTCGAGCTAAATTTATACACTGTTGTAACTTTGTCCTCCAGCAATTGCTGCTGCTGCGTAC